ATATTCTTCTCTCAATCCATCGATGTACTCTTCTTTCTCGTCTATCTCATCCTCTCAGTCTATGTATGTATATAGTACTGGGAACATCCTCTCAGTCTATGTATGTATAGTACTGGGAACACCAACCAACCGGGATCTCTCCCCAGCCCACAGGGTAGGTTTGCACCACAGGAGTCGTGCAAGAGCAAGGCTGCACCAGCCCCTCATCACTGTGATGCGGGGTGGGCATCCTCTCGCTAGTCTATGGCAACACCAACCAATCCGGATCTCTCCCAGCCCACGGGGTAGGTTTGCACCACAGGGGTGGTGCAATCAAGGCTGTCCCGGCGGTGCTACCGACGGTAGTGCCGAGCACTATGGCCAGTCGCTGCACCCCCACCCCACCCCACATTAGCGGTGTCTAATGGCCAATATCGTTGCTCCATAGCAACCAACGACATTGGCGAAGGTCCTACCAATTCGGAAAAAGTTTGAAAAAGAAAAGCGGGGAGTTTACAAAAAGCGCGCGAAACGAAGTCTTGAAATGGCTTTACGACTTTTACAGAAATACGGGTTGACGGCTCGAATCCGCCACAATTTCCATGTCATGGCTACCGCGCAACGAACTCCGCTGTAATGGTTCCCCTCGCATCAGCCGTCAATTTCAAACACATTCCGACAGCCACCGACCGTTTGTATGCAGCACAGGTTACGGCCGGGTCTTTTTTTTTTTTTTTCTTAATCATTACGGCCGGGTCTCTCGCCGCGGGCCTTGGGAAAAAAATTGATCGGAAATGAACTTGGGTGAAATCGGAATCGCCGGGTTTCGGCGCGTGAGTCTCTTCGAAAGTGTCGACATCAACGATCGATCCGGGGGTTTGGGATTCAATTAGTGTCACGCTCATTGTCTGTCCGTCGGTCATTGTCGCGCCCTCAGTGGGAATTCGATTACCCCTCTGTCGCTCATGGTCGCTGATTGTCGCGCGTCTCGCTACGGACCGGTAGTCGTGCCGGACGCTCTTTGTCGCCCTGCCGATCGACCAGGGGCTTTTCATAAGTCTGTCCTTCTGGAGTCGCCTTGACGGCAGTTAACATCGGAGGTGAGTTATAATCAGAGGTCATCTCCGCTGGTGATTCTTTGATCTCGGCTGGTCGTGGGACGGTGTCCTGCTCTCTCTTCATCTGCATCTTGATCCTGATCCTGTTTTGCGTTGCACACTTTTTCGATGTGTGACATGTGACATTGCCACTCTCGATTTCATTGGCACTCCGAAAACAATTTCCGACGAGCATAAGGATAGGACACGTGCCCGTTAAAAAGAAGAAGGGAAAACAAATGGACGCTTGTACGCTTCATTCTCTCTCTCTCTCTCTCTCTCTCTCTCTCTCTCTCTCTCTCTCTCTCTCTCTCTCTCTCTCTCTCTCTCTCTCTCTCTCCCCCACGTGATCGGATTCTACCCCGAGCTCAGGGGTATTCTTTGTTGCAACTGAACTCCCATTGAATAACTCTCGGTCTGTCTGTCTGTCTGTCTGTCTGTCTCTCACTCCCCTCTTCCCCTTCTCCTTCTCCGAAATTTCTGATTCTGTCCTGAACCCAGGGGCTATTATCTACTGCAACTGCACTCCCATTGCGCAATCTCTCTCTCTCTCTCTCTCTCTCTCTCTCTCTCTCTCTCTCTCTCTCTC